ATATCCGTCTATAATTGGGATACAACACATACTGTTACAATCTTGCATATTGCGCATTAAACATTTAAATTATTGTAATTTTGTAAAGGATACCATACAGCATTGTACTTGGGTTTATTTTGAGGTTTGAGGCCTCTATATTGAAAACATATCGTTCATTTTATTCTAAATAATTTTTATCTAATATCTTTTAGCATTGAATGGCGGCTTACTTTCTGTTGACAGCGCTACAAATTGTTATAGTGTATGGAAATCAAAATTGAAAATTTTTAAATAATGTCTAGAAATACTGAACGTGGCGGTTAGAAAAACTGCTTCACATAGCAATTTCAAAAAATTTACAATTAAGGAATTAATTACTTTATAAAGCATAGAATTTATGAATTTACTATGAAAACAATCATGAATGTACATTTTGGATGTAATACTCTGTAATATGATTTAGGCCATGTTTTTTATCCGAATATGTAATTTCACTTGATATTTCCAATCGCTGAGGCCAAAAGTCACGTTGATGTTTCACGGAAAAGGAACACTCTCTACGACGTTGGTCAACAATTATCAATGTTGTTACAATGAATTCTGTTGAAGGTGAAATCATGTGGCACACGTCGTTCTTCCGTCATGATATATAAGAAAAAAACGATAAGTATTGAAGCGTACATTTACAGCGAAGGTGAAATATTGGTACTGCAACGTGACGCTGAATATCGAGGAAACGGAAACATATGTCTATGTGACATATTGCGCTGCGCTAGGTTCTCGTGACTTCGTTCTATTGAAGTAGGTTAGTCGACGCTGGCAAATCACTACAAAGAGTAGGTTGTCTACCGCACTTTTCGAATCAGTGATAAAATCGGTGTCGACTGAAAGATCGACGTCGATCATTTCTGTGAAAACGTCCAGGAAAAGAACGCGAGCGATGTTGATAATAACAAGCGGTTAGTATGGAGCCCGGTAGACGTTCGGAATTCTTGCCAACATGAAAAAAGGACGAGTCTTCGTTTTAAATTGCACATAACGAAACATGGAGAGCTAACAAGAAATTTCAAATCGTTATCCTCCTAGAATATTCCAATGCATTTATATGCATATATGCAAAATTATATGCGTATAATTAAATTAAAATTACATGTCTGGCTCGTAAGGCACCAACAAAAAAACCAGCATTCGAAATTCTCGGTTAATGCTAATAATAAAATCTAGGAACATCCATTGTGTTACTGCAAAGTAATAATTTGACTCATGATAGTCTTTTGCGGATGAACTAAGGGAATCCGGCATCTTTATGAAAGGAAAAGGTTGTTGGAAATATCGATATCTATATTCAAGAGTTACTGAAATCGACGAGGACGTCATTTACCACTTCATAAATTTCCAGAAACGCCTCACTTCACATTAGGTTGAAATATTGAATACAGCTTGACAGCATGGCTTTAAACAATTATTTGTCACGACTCTGGGAAGTGATTGGTCGCTCTCTATTGTATAAAATCGATACATATTATGTGTACCGTAAATATGCAAGTTTAAGGTCATTTGATAGTAAAGTAAGAAATGAGAAAAGGAAATAAGGAAAGACAAAAGTAGGATACGTCGTAATGAATCTAACGTATCTATGTGAGACGATTGATATTTCCCCTGCATTTGAGCACAGAATTTAAGAATACTAGAAATAAAGTGAGAAAGACAAAAGTTAATCAGCTGTAACACTTTTTCGCAAGACAGTGGCGATTAAGTAGCTATTCATGGAGATTTCATCTCCTCATAATGAAAAAAATAGCACGTAGTGAAAGAACGTTTGACCCTGAATCTCATTGAGCTCAATTCTGTAGCCCATTGTACATACAGATCTACGCCCATCTGGAGATGAAGGATCATCTCTGAAAGTCATAACAAATAATTCAGACAAAGACAGATCAGGTACATAAAATTAATGTTTACAAGAAGACATTTGACGATGCGAATGCTGACATTCAAATGTTGGCGGATAACATTTACAAATAAAAAAAGGCAATTATTTACAATAAATAGAATCGGAAGGACCTGGATGCCGCTTCATTTGTTACAAATGTTTGTTTCCTCCGTTAATACATCTTTCAATATTAATAATTTATCTCTAAATGAGAACAAATAAATTATAATTCATGTAAATACTATTCTACATCATATATATTTTATTTTTATACTAGAAGATTATTTATTATTTTAATATGAATTTTATTATTACAGGGCACAAATTGAGATTATTCATTTCCACAGTTAATTTTTCCTTGATTCATTAACCCACGACGTCACATCATTTAGATTCAACATGGCCAGACAACCAGTCCTCCTTAATCATATCACTAGCTTTCTCCGCGATCATAATAGTAGGCGCATTCATATTTCCCCTAACAATCTTTGGCACAATCGAGGCATCTACGACCCTTAGACCATCGATTCCATAAACCTTCAGTCTCTCATTCACCACAGCCTCAGAGTCCGACTTTGGTCCCATCTTACAAGTTCCAACCGGGTGGTAAATAGTGTCTGTATGATGCATTATCACGCATTTCCAATAATCGTTCCGACCAAACTCAAACTCTTCACAACCAGGCAAAGGTTTATCAATCAATCTAAAGTCGTATTTTTTGAACGACTTTGTATCAAACAGTTTTAAAGCTATTTCCACACCTTCCGTTAACACGTCCAAATCTGGATTACTGGTAAAAAACCTGGGATTAATTAAGGGTGGTCCCCACATAGGATCACTTCCGTTCAATAATATAAATCCCCTACTTTTAGGCGATAATAATACTGGTAGAATATAAATAGCATTATAGTAAGACGATGGGTTGACACTATCGTCATATCCTTGTGAATCTGTTAAAAAATCTTCTCGACTAGCACTAAGGAAGAGGAATTGCATATCTGGTACTCCGTCTTCGTGCTCATAGGATGTTTGTGTGAAAGCACAGGACGTGAGGGTACCAGATAAAGGTCCCCTATGTGTCTCGCTATAATAGGAAATGTCTTTCACCATCATGGTGATATTCTTATTCGTGGAAGTAAAATTTAGTGCAAATACAACACCATTCGTTATTACATGATCTTGGAGGTTCCTTCCAACTGATAAATTACTAATTACTTCAATACCATATTTCTCTAATTCTTCTCCTGGTCCAATTCCCGAGAGCATAAGAATTTTTGGAGAATTAATGGATCCAGCTGAGAGAATCACCTCTTTTTTGGCAAAAACTGTGTTTAATTTAGTTCGGTTGTTTCCTGAAGTATATTCGACGCCTGTTACACGCCTTGTTTTGTTGTCTACAAGCAATTTCGTAACGTATGATTCAGTTCTAATCGTTAGATTCCTGCGTCTGCATCTGATGGGTTGTATGAATGCTTTGTTTGTGCTTTGACGTGTTCCATTAGCGGAGAATGTTTGTAGTTTCATCACACCTAATTGGTTATTTGCGTTGACATCTACGAGTTCGTAACCGAGTTCCTGCCATGCACTCAATATGATATCGCCGTTTATATCGTCGTACGGTAATCGTTGTACGGATTGGTAACCACCTTTTCTATGGTAATGTGGATTCTCTTCTACTATCTGGAGAAAATGAAAGTTTTACCTGGATGGCTCTCGGTATTGAGTGATGCAGATTCTGAGTTTAATACCTCTGGGTTCAAGTTATTTTCTGACTTAAGAAAGTAAGGTAGAACTTCTTCGTAGCTCCAGCCATAATTTCCTGCTTTTGCCCATCCGTCATAATCTCTTTTGTTACCACGGACGTACACCATGAAATTGATAGTACTGCTACCACCCATCACCTGTAAGTATGATAATAAATTTTTAAAATAGTCCAAATAGCAATGACATTGGCACTAGGAATACATATGTTTTAATTTATAAATTAAAGAGTTGAAATATTTCTACGTTTTATATAGATTCCTTGATTGTTTGCAAATTTCACAAGTATAACTATAATAATCTTGTTGTGTCTATTATATACAGGATATTTTGAATTATTTTGTGTAGATATGGAAATATTACATATACAGGATACTCATTTAAATGTGCCCACCTAATTATGTTTTCGAATTGTGGTGATGCAGAAAACATTTTTCGCCTGACACGAATCGTATCAAATGACAAATAATTGATGAAGATTGACGTCCAAATATTAAACTTTTTCTTTTAAATAATGATTGATTGTCCAGTTCATGAAAACAATTCAATTTCGAAATTATTATTCCAGAATGTCTATTGTATTAGAATATATGTATACATACTTTACCCCTTGGGATCAAACACGCTTTGCCCGCCTTGGATAGACAAGCGTATTGTTGCGGTTGTGTTTGATACATCCAATCGATATTGCTCCCTAATAACATAGGGGCGAAAGCCGGAACATCAGCTACCTTTGGCTCTTCTATACCAGCATCCAATAATAATATCTGAAGATATATATATAAAGTTTCGGAGGACTGTCATAAATTCTTATTTTGTAAATTTGGTTATTGTCCCGAAACATTTGGAAATATTTGCAGCTGAATCGGATCTCCCCATTTCCAGCAATCCTTATTCCTGAACGGGGGTCATTTATGATCTAGTTTTCAGTAGGCGAAAAACTTTCACATATGTGTTTCAAATAACGATTATACGAAACGGAATTGACCTGTAAGGTCATTTGGTAGATTCAATAGATATGGTAGGTATGTACGAGAATTAAATCTTCATGTCAGTTACTAAAACGTACCAAAGCATATCATACTATAAAATCGCAGTTTAGAAATCTAACAACGAAGTTGATGATATATTATCGAGTAATAATAGCGAATATAATTTTATGTTAATATAAATTAATATTAATATCCTCGGTAAGATTATAATTTATATATATGTTTTAGATGATCTAGCTTTCATTTCTTTCGACTCTTGTGCATTATGAAAAACGTAAATCTAGAAACAGATCCGCAGTTAGTAATGACACCAAATAATTAATTACAAATACCTTCCAATGGTTTACTTCGCTTAACCTGTTTGCAAGAACACATCCGGCTGATCCAGCTCCTACGATTACAAAATCGTACTCCTTTTCTGAAAAATTCATTTTGTTTAGATATCATTTTAGAAAAAATATATTTACAAATAATAATATTTATAGTTATATTCGCAGTTATTTTAAAATATATCAGCATACGTTCTCATATATCATGTTAGAATTTTTATATATACCAGTAGTATTCTATTGCATTCTGTTTCGGTCGGAACGTTACACTAACTGTCATACTGTTTCACTGCAAAATGCATTCATTTAAAAAATTTGACGACGAAATGTTTAAAACAAAGGGATGTTTTCAGAATATTTTATCAATACTATAGTGTTTATTAACAGCAGTTTGGTAGCAGCGCATATATGATACCGTGAAATATAGTTACTAAACGTACATACTTCTGACGATCGACATTTTAGTTCCACTAATATTTTTCGTTTTCAATGAAACAAATCTTCTCATACATCTTTTGAAACAATGAGATTATTTTTCAGTTTGAAATAATTGCAATTTTAATGTATCGAGTGTTCCGGTTTGGTATTGTATACCTTCGTGTTGTGCAGGTAAAAATATCATTTACTAAAATGTCCATAAATGTTTCATCACGAAATTATTACGAAAAGAAGAACATGTGGGCATTCTGAAATGTCAACTTCCTTTACTTAATGCAAATGTGATGTCCAGACTATTTAATTTTATTTCAAGTTTTCCACATACGCATCAAATTCTACATATGCGGTTTTGATTCTTCTATCCAATCCGTTTGGAGGACAAAACTTCTTTGTTGTAAATCGTTACTTTCAAAGTTAAGAAATATTGTCCCTCAAGCAGGCATTTTGGAAATTAGGGGATCGATTCTTCTCCGTTAATCTATTGTTTGAAGCTGCTCATATTGATCGTATTTACCGCACATCATATTTTTGTCGACGCAACGCTTTGTTCCAATATTTTCATGTATCATAATTGAATTATTTTCACCTGTATTTACCTGTGTCATAATGTGGACAGGTCTTGTCACTGGAATTACGGAATAGATTAGCGATGAGTGCCAGATAGAGAAGTGAGGATGGTTGACAGGATGACAGAGCAGAATCGATTGTGCATAGGGTAGATATATTTCGAGGTACCCAAGACATTTTCTTTAGAAACAATGATTTGTCGTTTGCGCTTCTCAAGCTTTGCGATGATTTGCTCGACTCTTGAAGAGATCTGTATAATTGAATAGACACATGAATACACATAATTATATAGCAGTACCTATAAGTGATATCGTTCTTTTTGAGTTTAATAAACATTACCTGCTTTATTTAATGCGTGACATAATTTAATCTAGTGACAATAATTTTAAAAAAACATTTTGAACAAAATAAAATTTTGTATAATACTTTTGGGTATCCTTGGCTACCCTACTAATAACGCTCCATTATATTATATTTATATTGTTATGGAATTACATTATGTTCATGTATTACAAATTCTTATTCTTGCATTGTTATAAATAATTGAAGTTATATGTGTTGTTTATTATATTACTGTTTTATATCAAACTATATTATTGATGATGATGACTTAATATATTGATTAAGCACAATCTAAGACTTGACTAATTGTAGAAGTCTTGCGAGGTTTTTGTTACGACTTTCGCTGATCATCAATGATCGAACGAGAATCGATAATATAGTTGGCTCATTATCATTTCTGTAAATGAACGTATGAATGTTATACAATGATCTCACAAATGTATTCAAACACTCACTCACAGAATTCTGCGGTGCATCTCTATTCGTTGAACACGTTATTATCACCAGTAAATGCTAAAAATCGGTGTAATATACAAGAACATTTAAAACCCAATATATGTAATACTAAGAACATTTAGAATATTCTACAGAACGAACAACAGTTCATTACAGACATTTTGTACTCTTGAG